GAGCAGGGACTGGGGCATGAGACGCTGCAAAGGGCCAGGGTGACTCTGGTTTGGCTCTATGGGAAAAAGTCCTGGACAGTACCTGGGGAACATTGGAAAGAAAAAAAAAGGAAAAGTGATGCCCGGCACCCATCCCTTGAGATTCTGCTTTATTTGATCTCAGGTGAGTTCTGGGCAGAGATATGTTTTAAAAGCTCCCTAGGTGATTTTAATATGCAGCTGTAATTTACAGCACTGTTCTGGTTTGTTTTTTTTTTTGGCTCTTGATGTTTTTTAGAGGGTAAACAAGCTTGTTTAGTTATAGATATGTATGGATGCATTTATAGGCCCCCTATTTAGACTTTTAAAAGAAGCATGGTGAACAGGAAAATAGACTCTAAACAAAAGTTGTTTTTAATCATTTCCTTATTCATTTTGAAACATTCTTGCTTTTGTTTGCAGACTGATGATAAAGGTGTTTTTGCAACACACCTTTCCCAAGAATACCAGCTGGCAGCAGAAACATTTAATTTGACCCAGTCTCAGGTATGGGATCTGTCTTACGAATCCATCAACTACATCTCTGCTTCTGACAGCATGAGGTCTGAACTGAGGAGGAAATGGAATCATCTGAAGCCCAAAGTGTTACATTTTTAAGCTATAATGAGGTGAATTCCTTTTGAGTATGTGTTGCAGCTAAGATCTTCCTGCCATATCCCACTTAGTAAACCGTCCACTGCTCTTTGAAGCATAGCATACCATGAAGCAAACCATGGTACCATGGGCTCTATCACCAGTCCCTTACTCATGGTGGGCACTCAGTAAATATATCTTAAACTGAGAAGCAGGCTCTGAGTCTTACATAGCTAACCTGCATGCTGCTTACTGAAGGGACTTGAATGTTGCTGTTAACTAAATTCCCCATTCCACCAGTGATTTTGACTTAATAGTGCCTCTCTGTTAGTGATCATAAACTCAAAAGTAATTGAGGAAAACTCAAAGTAATTTCTCATCAGGAAAAGTTTTGGAATTACTAGTCTAACTAAGGTAAGGAGGGGGGAAAACAAATTGCCACCAAGACCTTTATGCCTTCTAGCTTCTGACAACAGCTTTGTATTTTGTTAAGCTTACTTTCATCAGACTCCCTTCTCTTAAGTACTCCCTAAAACTACTGACTCCAGCCTACACTGCAGACCACAGATTTTTGTGACTATATAGTAGTCAGAGTTAATCTTAGTGATTCTAGTAGCACAGAAAGCTAGCTGCTGAGATCTGGCTTTGCCCTTCTCATGACTAATTCCCCTGGAATCTAGTTTTTTAAAATGTTCCTACCTTACCTTTCTCGTATTTTGACCATAATGGAGCTATGCCAGCCAGATGCTTTTTGAGCTCTAGGGTACTTTATTTATTTATGGTTCTATTTCCAGCCTTTAATCTGACTTCCAATTGTTCCAAAGTTTTATTTCTGAAAGAGCCTCATGGTGGTGGGTGTTGGAGGAATTTAAACTAAATTATTTCCATATAACATGTTACTTTAAGCACCATGATGTCAAAGAATACTCATAACTTTTTATATGTCAGAAGTTTGAGACATGCATCTCACTGGATAACTGTTTGAATGTATAGGAAGGAGTAAAGCTGTCATTTTAGATTTTGAATTGAATAATGGAGAGAGAATTCATATCATCCTTACATTTATATCTCATCTTCCCTTCCCTAACTGGTCACCATAAAAATAGTTCTCTATAGATTTGACAAGACTCAGTTTCTAATTCAGATTACAATTAGAAATGGGGCAGCAACACAGAGAATATATATGTTATTAAGTTCTATGGCATTGGCCATAGAGCACAAGCAATAAAAGGAAGAATGATAGCATGGGGAAAATAAAGAAAAATAACGGCACTAGAGAAACAACTGGTGAGAATAGATATGATTGTCCAGCTCCCGCTAATACATTCTTGCTTCCTTTGCTGCACATGCCACCTAGGCTATCCCAAGAAAGGCCTTACGGGCATTGAAAGGATAGGGGTGTATAGAACCTCTTGCTCCCCCCCCCCCCCCCCCCCCCCAGTGGTCTTGTTTCTCTTTCTTAGAATGTTTGAAGACTATTATTTCTTCCCTCTTCCATCGTCAGGAATGGCAGCTTGGGTAGCAAATAATGGTTTATGAGCTAGTTTGAAGTGAACTGGGTTTTCCCCAGGAGGAGACTTTGCCTTTGCCGTGTTCCTTTTGTGCATTCTCTTCAACTGGATGTTGGAGGTCTGGTTCTTTTAAAATAAGACTCACTCTCCATGCTCAGTTATGATGGGTCCTAATGGATATGGATACAGATACCAAGGAAGGATTTTCATTCTAATTTCTTCTTTTACCGCATTCTAATCTGTTTCTGAGCCTAGAACATAAAGATTCAGACAGGTACTATATCTAGTAACCCCACACAGGGAGCCAAAAATAGCAGGTAAAGATTCATCTACCAGCAACAAGTTAATTAAAATTTACACATACATATAAAAAAAAAATCTGAAGAAACACTGAGCACTTTACAGACATAATTTTTATTAACATGGTATCCCTGAGAGGCAGGTTAAGGTGTAAACATTATTCTGCTTTACAGTAAGGGATTCGGAGGCAGGTTGACTTCACACAGACATCTGGAACCAGAATTCTTATCTGTTGATATCCCACCCAGTGCTTTTCCACAAGACTATACATAGATATAGTAAATACAGTAATCTCTCATTTTTAAAAACATTATGCACACTTCCTAAAGTATCTCAGATCCTGAAGCATTGCTTTAGACTGGTGTTTCTTGTATCTTCCTGTCTGCTTAGGCAAAATAATTGAGATATCGCCCTTTAATTCCTAATAAATGTTAGATTCTTTGTACTAGGATCCCTCAACACCAGAACCCTAATTAATCTCTCATCTAACACAGTAAGCTATGAATTATAGAATATTCTATCTCCCCACTCCACTCCCAGATCTCATTCTAGCCACAGGACAATAATTAAATGTGAATGTGAAATAGCTACTTATCCCAGGCCTTGGCCATCTGCTCGTTCCTCTTTCCAGACCCGCCTGTCAAAGTATCTTCTCAAGATACTACAGTCTCTGACCTTTGTCTCCTATATAAGTTAGTCCCCTAAAACTACTCATTCTTCTCCAGTACCAGCCAGCTGTTTCCTTATCAATAAGTTCAACACAGCACCTGACTTACTGTACCTGATGGGAGCACCACCTCTTGATCTGCTTCGGGCACTCTTAGTGCTTCAGCTAAGGTGATTCTTTCTCTGCCTTCTGCACAGCCCATATCATACTGTTCCTCAAATTTTGTGCTGCTCCAAGCTTTGTCTAACCTTCCTTAAAGTCTCTCCTTTGCCCTCTGCTTCATCTGCACTAAACAACTTGTTCCCCAATATTCCAGGTTTTCTCCCACTCAGCACTTAGTTTTGCGATTAGTTCTGGAAAGTTTACCCCACCCTAATTTACCCACTAACATTCCCACCTTTGAACACTTCCTGCTTCATGAAGACTTGCTAAATAAAGAGAAGAAAATACCTCCCAGATTTCTCTGACAACTTTAATGCATTAGACCTTTAACATTTATACACTGTTACTGCCTCTCTAGATTTCTCTAAAACTATTGCAACCATACGCATATACTTATTATTTGTTCCATGTCAGTGTTATTTTAGATTGTAAGGACAAGGACTGTAGAACTTGTGCTGTACAGGGCTCATCATAGTACTGTGAACATACGGGCAATTAATTCAATACTATTTGATTATAAAGATCAGAATTACACTGTGTTTGAAGAGCTGCTTTTAAAAATATATGTATACTTGTACAGTTGAATATATGCACGTGCATGTGTGTGAGTATTGGCAGCTCCACTGACCAAAGATAATCTGTACTCCTTGCTATTAGGGTCAAGACTTCTTGGCACAAAATGGTCTGTTGTCCCAATCCATGGGAATGTGGCAGTGGCTACTGCTCACTGTAGGTTAGTACTGAGCACCCATGGGGTGCCTAACACTAGAGAGGTGTGTTAAGTGTGTGGAATATGGACAGTTCCCTATTGGCAGCTTTAACTGCTTTTCCTGTCACTACATTCAGCTGGCTTACTCTTTGGGCTTCTGGATCACAAGGGACAGATAAAATTTGGATGAGATGGAATATAAATCAAACTAGATGCTGTAAAGGTAGTAGTATACTATTCCAAATCTAGGGTTTGGAAGATACTAAGAAATCCAGGGTTCATACCTCAGTATTTATACAAGGTTTATATTGTTTCCCCATATAGAACTTCTAAGTTCTTGACAAGATTCACAGGTCAGAACTAAGATGGACATTAAACTCCTTTAAGGTAAACGAAGAGTGCGCATGACAAATAGATTCTCCTTGACTTACGATGGGGTATATCCGGATAAGCCCATCATAAGTTAAATACATCATAAGTTGAAGTGCATGTAACCTACCAAACATCATAGCTTAGCCTACCCAGTTTCTACTAAATGCATATCGCATTTGCACCATCACAAAGTCGAACGATCGTTAAGTTGGGGACTATCTATATGTCATTCTGGGCGCAGAAAGAGTTATTCTTTTTTTGCATTTCCATTTCTATAGAAAGAGCTAGGCCTACTCAATGAGAAGTCTCACAGTTTCTCCCTGAAATGCTGTGATGGGTTTTCCCAGTCAAAATGCAGCTGAATTACAGGATGAGTTTGGAAGGGTGCATGTCAAACTCACAGGATCTACTACTATGTCCTCTTTATTAAGGTAACAACATGGGCACTGAGAGGGAAAGATGATATCTGTCAACTCAGATGCAGGCATGGAGAGAGACTGAAACCTTCCTTTCATTCTTAAGACAACTGCCTTGGGAATTTGACTCTACATCCAGGAGAAACAGGAACAAACAGTGGGATAAATCCTAGAATGTTTCCTAAACTAGTTGGGCATAGAACAGGAGATGGATCTCACTATTGGAAGACTTTTTCAAACAGTTTCAATACATTTACTGAGACTCTTTTCTTTATAGATTCCCAGGGGTTTACTTAGGCGCTGACTGTGTCAGAAGCTTTTCTCTTGTATGGATTTCTCTGTGCTTATTCAGAGCAGAGCTTTTGCTGAAGCACTTGCCACAGTCATGACACCCATAAGGTTTCTCTCCTGTGTGTGTTCTGTGATGTGCACGTAAGTCAGAACTCTTACTGAAACTCTTACCACAGTCAGGACACACATGGGGTCTTTCTCCTGTGTGTATCCTTCGATGTGCGCTAAAATGAGAACTGTTGTTAAAGCTTTTCCCACACTCTTCACATTGATAGGGCTTTTCTCCTGTGTGGGTTCTCTGGTGAATTATAAGGCTTGAGCTCTGATTGAAACGCTTTCCACACTCACTACATTGATACGGTTTTTCTCCTGTGTGGATTCTCCTATGGGTGATGAAATTTGAACTGTCACGGAAACTTTTCCCACAGTCAAGACATTTATAAGGTTTCTCTCCAGTGTGGATTCTCCGGTGTCTAATGAGGCGTGCACTCCGACTGAAACTTTTCCCACAATCAGCACATTTATATGGGTTTTCCACTTGATGGGATATCTGATGCGTAAGGTGGGAGTTTGGACCAAAGCTTTTGCCATATCTGAGATATTTATAGGGTCTCTCTCCCAAGTAAGGTCTCTGATGACTTAGAACTTTACCTAAACTCCTCTCTGGGAGTGTCGGTTTTCCTCGTTTCTCCCCTGGGGTCCTTTCCCACTGTCTTCCTGATCTGTATTCACTCTCACTGCCTTTATCCTGATTAAGATACCGGGGAATTTTCCTTTCAGACCTTGCAAGTAATGTCCTATGTAGTTGTACTTCCTCAGAAATATCCCGTTTTAGATTCTCTTCATTCTCAAATCCAGCCTCAAAACCTGATGTGAGAATAGAATTTTAAAAGTTATCCATTTCCACAATTATTATTTGCCAGGGTTAGCAAGTATTACATTAGATGATTAACGATAAAAATTAGGGAGCTCTAGATCCTAAATAACTACCATCTATTAAAATTCCAGTGTTTTACTTTTCTACTTGGTAACCTATCATATGCTTCTTATCTACATAGGGCTGATAAGTAAATTCTTTTAACTCTTCCTGGATGCCCAGGATCTTCAGAAAAACTTGTCAGTATAACAAGAAAAACCTACCAGATTTAAAATTATCACCATGTTTAATACAGGAAAGACACTTTCTAATACTGTATTTTGCCTCCTCTCTGGCCTATCATTGGTATTTTAGTTTATGTTATTTGCCAGTAATTAAAGAGATTTGAAGGGACTGCCTAGGAAAACTTTGGGAAACTTCTACCTTGTTTCCCTGAAAATAAGACTTAACTGGAAAATAAGCCTTAGCATGATTTTCAGGGTGCTCGTAATATAAGTCCTACCCCAAAATAAGCCCCAGTTAAGATCGTCAGCCAGACATGACTGTATTTGAATAAATGTAGATTTTTGTACCTGAATAAATGAGTAAAATGTGTCTTTTGGAGCAAAAATTAATATAAGACCTGGTCTTATTTTCAGAGAAACATGTTATGTCCAAAAAGAGCGAGCTACATGAATGAGTCCTCTTCTGCTCAAATTCCAATATATGTTGAAAATAAAAACAGGTTAGAAAAATACTTGATATCTTTCAAAAACTAAAAGGCCTTCTGAGAGAAGAACTTTGTTAGGAAGTGTCTCACTAAAACATTCTCTTTGCCTTTGGAAAGATAATCACTAAATGTTCCAAAGCACTTATTCTAATGCCCAAGCTAAGCTTTTAATATTCTTCTAAGAACCATATGCTGGGCTCCCTGGGACTAGGCTATGTGAATTTGCAGATAATTGCGAATTTTCAGTTTGAATTTGCAGAATTTTCAGATATTTCAGATAAACTCTGCATCTCAAATTTCCTAGACTAAATCTGAGAGCAAAAGAATGCTAAGTGTCAGCCTGTATATATACCCCTAAAGCAGTATTTCTACCTAGACGCGCAGTCCTAAGAGATGCCCTGTGAAAGAGAGGTTCATCAGGTTAAATGAAACCTTAGCACCTTAAATATGTGAGTATGGTTTGTGAGCCTCCACGAGGGGTATTTAGCATTTCCTAAACCTAGAAGCCATTTTTTAGTGGAACATATTAGTACCCCCATGGAACTGATGCTCCATGGAACACCCTTAAAGAACGTTGATCTAAAGAACTTTTGGAAGAGAATACTATTTACTGAATACTTTCTGTGTGCCCAAGCATTGTGCTAGGTGCTTTACCACGGTACCTCATTTACATCAACTTTTTGAGGTAGGTCTTCATAGATAAGTAAACTTACAGGGCTAAATAACTAGCTGTAAGTCACTCAGCTAATAAACAACAGAGTCCAGATTCACATATGCATAAATATACATGTATGACTCCAAAATCAGAATTCTTCCCACGAAGAGGGAAGCCATATTGCAGGTTTTCCCCTCTTATACAGCAGCTAAGATTCAAAGGGTCAGTTCCCTCAGAAATCAGACTTTTGCATAAGTGTGTCTGAAGAAAAGAGATTACCACCTTTTCATATATATTAAAAAAGCAGACACAGCTGGTATACAAACTGGAACTAGAAGAACAAACACAAATGAGAATGAACTTTTAAAATCAACTTCATCCTATTAAGGGTACATGACATGCTGCTTGGGAAATATTAGCTTTCAGATTCCTTGCTAGGCAAACTGCCGAGAAACCTGGCAGCTCACACGTAGATGATAGCAAATTTACAAAGTTTGCAACCATCTCGGACTGATGCTGTAATGTAAGGAGGCAAGTCAAGTGAATAATTTATATATCCTCCCACTGAGCTCCTTTAGTAGACGGAGCATGGAGACGAGATAGGTGGTCACAAGAAGAATTCATGAGAGCTGGGTGTGGACGCCAGTTCTCCTGGTCTTCAATCTGATTTTTCTCCTAAACCCTACTGCCCCCCACCTTTGTATTTAGACCTTAAGAAGTAAAAGGATCTTACCACTGGGGCTCTGAAATAAGACTGGAGCACGGGTCATGACAGCCCCCGGGGGTAGCTCAGTATCCTCTTCATCATCCTCAGAATCTTCTTCTGTGGCCTCTTCTGCCTCCTCCGCTTGCTTCTCAGCTTCAGCCTCACTAGTCTCCTGGATGGGGCAAGAGGCTGTGTCCTCTTCCTGGTCATCACTAGATGGGGCAACAACCCGGGCACTCACCAAAGCATCCATCTCTTCAAAGAAGGGACAGGTCTCTGGTGCTTGGCCATTCTTGACTTTCCGATAGCTGGTTTGTAGGCTTTTAAACTTGGTCCGACACTGCTCTGGTGTCCTCAGGAAGCCATATTCCCATAATCGCTCAGCCACTGCTCCATATAATTGGCTATTGCGGTGACAGTTCCGGAGGGCTTCGTAAAACTGAGTCTCACTAAGAATTGCAAGATAAGTCTTTGTCTCTTCATAGCCCCAGTGTACACCTGCCACCAGAAGAGAAATTTCAGCACCACTTAATCCAGGGCTTTACAAAGAGCCTCAATACCTCAGTCCTATCATCTGCATCATGAAAGTTTCCCAAAGAATGACTCAAAACCCCAAGGAACAGTGTCTTTTAAAATCACACTGCTGCCTAATTCCTATTATGGCCCTTCTTCACTTGCCACAATCTCAAAAAAACAAGTCCAACAACAGCAAAGACCTGAAAAGGTACAATATAAGGACCTGATAGTCATGCATCTTATCGTTAGAAGAGAAGGACTGGCAGAAGCCAGAAAGAAGAAGGAAGCAAATCAGACAGCATCTCCTGGACAGAACACATGCTAGTGCTGCAAGCTCCACTTGGGCAGTACTTCAGGATGACGATAGACTCTGTTCCCCGAAGGTACCCAAGTCAGAGGGAAGGGAGATTCAAAGAGTCTTCCTCTCACTTGAGAGCCAGCTGGAGATTACACTGCTTCCATTATCCTCCACTCACTGCAAGTAAAGAAGAGGGAAGAATCGGAGGACAGGGGAAAAGCAGTGGAAAAGAATGAGAAGAAAACAAAGATAATGAAAATAATAGCAGGTAGCACATGTGCCACATTTGTAATTTACCTAGATTTATCCCAGTGACAAAAAAGGAAAAAGAATGAAGGGAAAAGAAGATAGGAAGAAGACTAGAACAGAATTAAAGTAACATCACACATAATAAAAAATGAAAGGAAAAGATCGCTGTTCACAGTGGAAATGCAACTTCAGAGATGTAGTCCTGCTGCCATGCCCCCTTTTATAGTTCAGGAAACAAACTTTGAAATGGGTCAGATAACTGTCCAAGGGCATGCACCTGTTTAGTGGTCAGGATAAAAAACAAAGCCTCAGTGGTCAGGATCAAAACAAAGCCTCCTGACTCATACTTTGGTGCCCTTTCCATAACAACATGGTTGTAGAAATTACAACAGTAATAAATGATACTTACAAAACTGTTCCACGGGCAAATAATATTTCAACATAGAGTGTTAAACAAGATTTCCTGGCGCAGGACTTCTCATTTCCAGTGTGTGTTGCGAATCTCATAAAGGAGACTCAGAAAATGTTTCCCCAACTTTGGGCAGTCCTTCACTATGCTGTTCTAAGTAAAAAGGAACACAGCATAAACTAACTTGAGATTTGGGGGAGTAAAAGATAAAGCACCAGTTCATGTAAGCTGTTCAATGAATATTAGTTCTCCTTAAAGATAAAATAGTGCCAAGTTTTTCTCAGCTTTCAGTGATTTTATAATCAGGAAAAAATAATAGAGAAATGGAAGGAATAACATTCCTTTTCAGGACTGTCTTGAATTTTCTGAATGTATTTCTTTAAAATACCTAAAATTATTCCCTATTTACTGTTATCTCACTGACTTTCCCACAGGAGAATGAAATACACACAGAACTGAGAAGTGCCTGTTTAAGTGATAAAGTTGTCAGGTGACATTCAGCTTCCTGACTCCACATCCAGTCTCATAATTCCTCAAGTCTAATCCCCAAACCCCAAGAACAAAAGCTTCTTACCACTTGGGCTTCGGAAAAGGACAGGTGCAGTCGAGTTGTTAGGGTCCTGGGGGGTGGCTTCCTGGTCCATTTCATCACTGTCAGACTCCTCAGCCATGGCCTCTTCTGCTCCCTCCTCATGCTGCCAGCTCCCTTGCCCTGGCTCCTCAGTCTCAGCATTGCTGCCTGCCAGGCCAGAGTGAGAGGCTGCCTCTTCCAGGCCATTACAGGGCAGGGCAATGACCTGGGCACTCATCAGGGCTTCCATCTCTTCAAAGAAGGGGCAGGTCTCCGGTGGGTGGCCACTCTTGACTTTCCGATAGCTCTTCTGGAGACCTTTGAACTTGGTCCGACACTGTTCCAGGGTCCGGAGGAAGCCATACTCCCGAAGCCGTTCAGCCACAGCCCCATATACCTGGCTGTTTCTATGACAGTTTCGGAGAGCTTCATAAAATTCAGTCTGACTGAGAATTGCAAGGAGAGTTCTGGTCTCTTCATAGCCCCAGTGCACACCGGCCACCTTCTCATCCTCAAAGCCCCAGTGATCTTGTTCCACCCAATTTCTCTCTCTTCTGGATGATAATAGATCAGTATGCATTTGTCTGTCTCCTGTGTGACTGCGTCTTGGGAGTTCCTTCTCCTTGGAGCCAATATCTGGGATGCAAGGCTCTCCTCGCTCCAACCTGGAGACCACACCGGATTTAGGAAATGGAAATCCTGCTTGCAGGGAAGCAAACAAAGGATATCATAGTTTGGACTGATAATAAAAAACATCTCTGAGTTCAGACCTGCCTTTTTTCATCCAAGAGGCTTATAAAGAAAGTGTCTAATAAAATATTTTCAGGAAGTTCCAGTGGGTTGAAGAAAGTGGGGAAAATACATGAAACCAAAAAGTGAGAAATATTTTATTTCCCAAAGCAGGGTGACAAGAGACGAAAAGGATCTGTTGTTATGTTCAGAGCAGGTAATTCTGTTCCAAGTTGCTCCCTAGCCCTCCTGACCACTTATAGGCAGGTCCTAGCCCTGCTGGGAACAGTCATTTCCTGTCTCCTATAGTTTTCCATTTGGACCTGGAGAACAAAACTCAGAGTGATTTCAAGTGGGAGGGGAGCAGAAGTAAGATGGTCGTCAACCCATGTTTCCTTCACACTCAGTCACCAAGTTCTAAAGGTTTTTCCCTTAGTATGTCCTTTCCCTATTCCTACTGCCACCATCCAAGTCTAGACTCTTTACCTTCTCACACCCAGATAACTGCAGCAGTCACTGTCCTACCTAACTCCAGGTTCTTGCTTCTTCAGCTCACATGCTATACTGCTGGACCTTAACCTGTGCCCACTATGCACTGTCCATTCATATCAGAATCTTCCTCTATCCAAATTTAACCCATTCTTCAAGAAGCTGTATTTGCCAAAGCCCCCATGAAGCCTTCTCTACAGTCCCCCCCAGCATCTCCCACACTGCCAAACCTCTATTATACTCACAAAATTCAGTGACAAGCCATTGTTTGACATTGTTTCAGTACAATTCAGTTCAGCGCATATTTATATTTGCTGTTAAGTTCTCAATCATATTGTAAGCTCTTTGAGGATAGGCATCTTATTGCAGAATATCCTGCAAGGTGTTGAGCACATGGTAGGTGTTCAAAACTGATTAATTCTGCAAGTCTGTATGTGGGGTTGAAGGATTGGATCTGGATGACTCAACAGAGACCATTACCAAACTAGCTGAGAAGGCTAGCATCTTGGCCAATAAGATCAGAATTCAGAACAACCTAAATAAGTTAAAGAAGTGATCAAAGTAAAAAACCTACAATTTGGAGTTCAAGAGTACAAAGAAGAAAAACAAGCTTTACAAAGTCATGCACAAGAATAAGCGTTAGGCACAAAGACAATGAGGAAGGCTATGAGAGTCCTGGGAGTTACCAGGTGAACAATAATCATCAAATAGTTGAGCTATTCTGAAAGAAAATATAGTGAAATGCTGAAGTAAAATTCTTACTCTGCCTCAAGCTACCAGACCCTCACTGGAATAATATATGTATAATTTAGTTCTCCACAACTAACATATTTGGAGAGGTTAAAGTTTCCAAGGGAGAGTAACAAAAACAGTATGTCTGAATAATGGAGCTTCTGGTGAAAAGTTTAAATAAACAAATATAGTTTATTTTGGAGAAGGAAAATTACTAAAAGGAAGATGTACCTTCAAGTATAGAAAATTATTTTTATCTAGAAAATACTGACCTACTATCATTACCAAGAGGAAATAAAATAGTTCCAAGTTCTGATAAAAACTAGGGAACCATCCTCTGGCAGACGTATCAAAAGAGAAAATATGAGAAAACTACAGCAGAGAGCTAAACTACATGCCTTCAGGAGGTCCCCAATAACTGCATACTCTACAATTTCCACTTATTCTTGAAATCCCTTTCCCACTCACTATTCCCAACCCTACTGCCCAACTTAGAATGGCACCTATCTTCCCATATGAATCTACTCCTCACCGCTCCTTTGAAAAGGTCTGAGCTTCTCCTTTGGGTTCATCTGCTCCTGTGGTCCCAGGTCTGGGCTTCTTGCCCTCTCTTTCTTGGGTACACCCCTGGGCTGGGGTTCCACTGACTCCTGCCGAACATTTAATAACTCTCGTGATGATTTCAGGGGTGTCATCTTCTCCAAGCGCACTTCCTGCCCCTTCACAGAGACTGTGACCTAGAAACAACCCCCATTAATTGTCACTGCAAGGTCATAATGAGGGGCATTCCCAGAGGAGATTATTTAATACCCCAGAAGAGACCATCCTTTTGGGACATGGCTAGGGTTGGGTGGGGGGGTGTTAATAGTGAACAAGGGTCATTACCGTTAGCTTAGAGCAGCTGGAACTCCAGAAGGAAAAGATCAAAATAGTAAATGCAACTACAGGCTAAATAACTCCCCTTTCTTCCCTATTAAGTGAAAAACTAGGAAGCTATGAATATCTCATTATGACAGGGTAGCAAAGGTACACCCAAGTAGCATCTCTAGATAATCTGTATCTGAAAAAGTTACCTGTTCCAGGATCAGAAGCATAAGCATCACCCAGGGAGATTATGCCCCTCTTTAAACCTGTCTATACCTTAATTTGGCCCTTTATCCTTGCCCCTGCCCAGTCACACACTTCTGAATTCCCCCTCCCTTCTCACCGAACGTCCAGGTCTTCCAGGCTCTCTTTCTAAATCTTCCACTAGAGCCACAGCCTCCTCTCCACTTTCTGGACATTGCTCCTGTACCCACTTCTGGATCTCCCCAGGTAAGATGGTCAGGAACTGCTCTAGCACCAACAATTCTATAATCTGCTCCTTGGTGCGCACCTCCGGCCTTAGCCACCGACAGCAAAGTTCCCAGAGTTGGCTGAAAGCCTCACGGGGCCCAGCTACCTCCTGGTAATGAAATTTCCTGAAGCGCTGTCGGAAGGTCTCAGAGTTAGTGCCATTTCCTCTCAGAGTGGGTTTGGCCATCTTCCACAGCAGAAAGCAGCTTCCCTCCACTTAAAGGTCTGGGTTCCAGGGCTTACACCTATCTTCCCATGTCCTTGGAGAATCACCTGCAGATGAGTCTCTCTGTAAGTTTCCTCCTAGGGTAGAGAGAGATGGCACTATCAGAAGGAATATACTCATATGTCTAAAGTCTTGCCAGAGCTGGCCTGACTTTCCATATATATGCTCCATGTGGCCATCTGAGGTAGCATCAACTCCAGGACAGCAAGCCAAAACTGAGCATGGAGAGAAACCTTTCAAAAGCTGCATTTCTGGGCGACTTCCCAGAGGAGCCCGGGGAAGCAGCAGAGAAAGTTGTCTGCTCCTCTTCCACCTCCCCCAAATCTGACCCCATTTAGCTCCCTTAACCCATGTTGCATAATGAATTTGAACCATATAGGAAACCTGGAAAGCTCAGAGGATCTAAAGGCAAGTCACCATCGTGCTCACAGCAACAAAAAGCCCGTGTCCAGCGGGTCGCAGGTGACCTCACCCAGTACCGCCGCAGTGCTTCTCGAGGCCCTCTACGTCCGCCCTGCCCCTTCGGACTCTACAACTGCCAATTCCCACCCCAGAGAAACATCAAGTACTGAACACTGGGTCTTTGTTTTCCCTCACAGCAGAAGTAACCGCTCAGCAAACATTCGGGAACTGACGGGAAACCTCGCGCATTGGGAGAAGTTGGTTTTGACTTCTGACGCGAGGCCCGGGTGGGCTTGGGGAGAGTCGCACTGAGTTGGTGGAGAGGATTCTGAGGGGGCAGTAGTAATGGGTCTCCTGAGGACAAGCTCGGGTGCTGGCCAGAAGATCCGAGTGCTGCGAGGTTAGCGGGCGTGGAGCTCAGCTCAAGAAGCGGCGGGTGCGGGGTTCCGGCCTCTTTGTCTTCGCTCCCTCCGGCCAGGTCAGTGTCGGAGCCATCGTGCAGTCCTCTCCAGAGGCCTCTAACGGGGCTAAGGTTCTCTGAGAGCACCTTCCGGCCACCCCTGGGAGTGTCTCCTTCTAGAGCTGTCCCTCAACCCACTCGCATCTATGCCCGCGGGCCAGCCTCACCCACCCAGGGTCGGCCCCAGGCCCGGCTCTCCAGCCGCCTAGTCCAGCTCCAAAACCGGAAGTCCGAGTGGGTGACTCAGGCGCTGAGGGCGCATGCGCAAAGACAGCTACCAGGACTCTCCCTCGGAGCCCGGGCCGGAGCTAGCGGGGGGCCCAGCGAACACGGCGCACTTCCGGGACGCTGCGCGCGGACCCTTTCCCCGCTCCCTGTCCGCTCCTTCCGCAGCAGCTTTCTCGGCGGGTAGATTCAGGAGGAACCGTAGGTCCCAAGAGCCTGTGCGCGTGTCCAGAAGGGAGCATTCGACTCCGTGGTCGCCTGGAGCGGCGCTGGAGGAGGGAGAGACGTATATAGGGACTCGAGATCCGCCGTGGGAATGATCCACGAACTGCTCTTGGCTCTGAGCGGGTACCCAGGGTCCATTTTCACCTGGAACAAGCGGAGCGGCCTTCAGGTACTGTGTGGCTCAGAGCGCGGAAACTAGCGGGAGCAGAACGGGTAGACCTGAGCCAATGCGTGGGGAAAGTCTATGGGACTGAGGGGGCGGGGCTTGCAGGGCCGACGGGGCGGGGAGAATGTCCCTGCTCAGGTAACTGGAGGGCAGTGCCCCGAGGGGCCTACGGGTGACGTAGCCACCTTGAGAGGGCTGGGCTTAGGCTGGGAAACAAGGGCAGACCCAGAATGACCCCGCCTTTGGGGAGGGAAAGAGGGGAGCCCCGAACCCCGCTTAAACTTGAGGTGTTTGAGCGAGTTGCTGGGCAATTGGATGTAAATGTAAAGGAGGCACTTTCTCTTCTTTTCACGCTTGCACTGTTTTAAATTGAGTTTTGGAAGCCAGACCAGCGGTTAACACAATAAGCGTTCAGTCAGTTTTGTTGAATGAAAAAAATGAATGAGAGTGTGTTTCCTTCATGACTCCTTTCTCAGGGAATTTGTGCAGTAGGAGAATTTGGAAGAGGGCCTTCCTGCAACCAGGAATGTCTGAGGAGGAAGGGCTGTGTAATAGATGCATTATCTCGTTTAATCTTCATAACCACCTATCTCCACACAGATAGTAATTAATTAGCAAGCTTGGCCTTGAACCCAGGTCTGGCAGGCTCCAGTATCTGAACTACTCTTTTCTGCTTCTGCCTCCAGTAACGTAATCTAATGCTCTGGATAAGTTAGTAACTAGGTCTTGTTAGCCCTAGTTTACAAAAGAGCAAACTGAAGCTCAGAGAACTTTATGGTGGCTAGTCCTGGTAATGGCAAGATTTGTACCTAGTTCTGTCTGATGACAAAATCAAGCCTTTTCCTATGAGAATTGGCAGTATAGACTGGGGAAGAGCAGAAAAATTACATTCTTAGTCTATAAAACCTATGAATCAAACAAATTCCTATTGTTATTTAATTTCCCCTGTAAAACTAGTACAATGCCAGGCATATAAGAGGAAAATGTTCAGGAAGTATTTGTGTGTGCTTTATGATCTGAAGTAAAAAGAGATAACAGTATAGGAAAGATAGCTGCCTTCCTTTCTAATAAAAAAGTCTCAATCGATATTTTCCTCAGGGTCTCAGCTTTAAAGTCACGTCAGAAAAACTTTCTCTGACCATCTCTTTCAGTATTCACTCCTATGCCATTATTCTCTATCACAGCAACTTGGTTTTTTTCCCTTATAGGAATTACCACAATTCATATTATTTATTGTTGTCACCTCTTTCTAGTCTTCCTCTCGCGTATATTGCCCATGGAGGCAAAGACCACAGTGGTCTTCTTCATAGATATACCAGAAGAACCTGGCACAATTTGTGCCACAGAGTAGATTTTTGTGTAAAAAAAAACCACACCAAAATCAGCAAATATTGCATACTTTCTGCAGAGCAGTGTTTTTCACATTTGAATAAAGGGGAAAAT